TAGTTGTCCGGTGTACAGGTCGTCCCTGACCTGGTACGTCGACAGGATGAAGTGCCATGCCTGGTGACCAGCATCCAGTCGCTCTCGACAGCTCCTAAGCGCCAGCTGCACCACCGGCGAGCAGCACCTCGAGATTTCCATGAAGGTGAGCAAGTGAGTAGCACAAAACTCCCCGCGCAGCTCGACATCGTCCACGGGCGGAATTGGCACGGTGCCGTCGGCGAAGCCCTTCAGCCCGGCGACCTCCAGCTGAGGTTCTATCGACTCCCTCCAAGTGATGAGGTCCCGTCGACCTTGCAGCGGTGCGACGGTGATCCGGTCCGGCGAGAACTTGAAGTAGCCATATGTCGGTGCAATCCCGCCCGCCATCACATGCGACGTCGCTGAGAGCCCTCCACCGCTTCGTAGAGGAGAGCGACGTCGACCATCGACGTCGGCATGCGAGCTGCCTGTAGCCGCCGTCGACTGCTGCACTCGCGCCTGACTCCTGTCGACGCCACCGTCGACCTTGATCACCCCTCTCTGTTTCATGCCATCGTTCTTGCTGACTCGTGCACCACCGTCGACCTCGTCGTCGACGCCACCTTCGTTTCGCACCGGTCGAGGAGAAACAGGATGGGAAGGGTGTTCCGACGCCCACTGCGACCAGATGCCCAACTCGACGATCAGCAAGGGGATCGTCCCGTACTCGCCATCCGCGTGGCGTTTCCTCGCATCAACCAAGCGTGCCTCCAAGGTGTCCGCTACGCCCGCATTAGCTACGGGGTCGACCATGGTGACTATCTCTGCTGCCGGCCTACGAACGACTTAGTAGGTGCAAAATTCGGCTCCTATTTGAAGGTAATCTGCGGGGCCGTCCACGCTCACCGCACCATGTGGAGATTCACTCTACAACGGTAGTGAGCTAGACTATGGGGGTTGGCACAAACTACTAGGAGTGATCGTAGCTTTGCCTAGTTCCTTAGTGCTTGCACAATCACGGGAGAAATCGGCAAGAGTTTCCACTAACAAAGTCGAAATTCCAGAATTGTTGAACAAGCAACGACAACAATGACTACATCAGGCACCTAGCAACTCTGCAGCTAGCCCGGTCGACCGACAGCACAGCATGGTCGACCGCCCGCTAGCGTTGCGTAGAGGAGCCGCGCCAACACTGCAGAAAGGGGACCTGCTAACACAGCAGGTCGACGGTGTGCCAATGCTGCAGCAGAGTGGTTGTCCAGCGTTGCCCCGTAGAAGACAGCAATGCGCACGCTCGCAGGTGCGCGCAGACGATTGGCCCGACTTGCACCGTTGTGCATCCGTCGGCTGTTGTTTGTGCCTGACGAGCCACATCGACTTCGAGGTACCAACCTGAAGTCGCTTTCGCCATCGCGACCTCGACGACGTTCGCGTGCCTTCGCAGAACTCGCCGAGCAGGTTACCCGGTCGACCTGGACAACCCCAGGTGCTCTGGTCGACCACCAAGTGCCTCTGGTCGACCACCAGGTGCCCCTGGTCGACCACAACTCCCGTCGAGCTACCCCCTGGTCGACGGACCCCTTCCGTCGACCAGAACTGTCACTTGTTGTCGCCGAACTCCCCTCGTCGACCTCTGCTCACTTGTCAGGTCAACGGACTGCTCCGTTGACCTCCTAGTCGACCTGCAGTTCGACGGACTGCTCCGTCGATCTCCCGGTCGAACTGCCCCTCCTGGTCGACGACCAGTCAGTTGTAGTTGTCGAGCTCCCTGGTCGACAGCAACACCACAGCGGTCCCCTGCAGCTCGACGAAGCCTGTCGAACAGCTCTCCCACTGTGAACGTTCGGCTGCTATTCCCGTACATCCGACCAAGCCGTCGGCGTTGCCCAACCAAGGGCGGGGCCAACACTCCATTCTCGTTAACAAGGGGTACTGGCGATGCTGACACCGGAGGTGCTACTGGAGGTACTGGAGTTGGTGGTGCTAGTCGGCAGGAGTCGCTCTCGCCGCAGCAGCTTTGCGAGTGGGCTATCCGTTGGGGCAGTCCCGGTGGTGGAGCTGGTGGTGCTGGTTCTGGGGATGCTGTTCCTACTGGGGCTCGAGGTTCTGGGGGTGTGACTACTCAGCCGCAGCAGTCTGCGCTTCGTCACCTTCTCAGTTTCCCGCCTGCTGCTACTGAGTTTCAGGTTGCTGGTACTACTCCTCCGTTGCTGTTCCCATAGACTGACCAGTCTCAACCATAGCTACTGCCTAGCTCCCCACTGCCTGCTCCTGCTCCTCACACGGAGGTGACCAAGTCCCTGACTGAGCGTCGTGAGCCTGAGACTCGTGCTTCCACACCTGTTCGCGGTTGTCGTGCTGTCTGTCCTCGTGCTCCAGCTGTGCCACGCCTTCACTGTATGACACTTCGTCCTTCCCCTATTCCACAACGTGTTGTCCTGCCATTGCCTCCTACGTCTTCTCTTCCTCATGTTCCTGTTCTCTTCTCTTTGCGTTGCACGAGGCTTCAGACATTCTGAGGGGGTCCGCTCACGCCAAAGATGACCACTCTTTAGGTGCTACTGCACGTTGCAGCACATCACGACTATGAGCTGCACTCCCTCAACTTCTCGACAGCCTTCGTGTAGGGCAGCCTTCACGAGGCTATCTGGTTGCGCCGCCAACGTGGCTTCACTGGGTCGTTTCCTGAGGATACCCAATGGAGTCTTCGGCGACCAGTCTACGACTTGCGACAGGCGCCCCGTGAGTGGCACGACACACTTAAGACTACACTTGCGGCTCTTGGATTCGCTCCCTCGACTGCTGACCCTTCGCTGTTTCTGCGCACAGACACTTCTCTGCCGCCGTTCTACGTTCTCGTGTACGTCGATGACTTGGTTTTTGCTACTGCTGAAACATAGGCTGTGGTCTTAGTGAAGGCGGAGCTGCAGGAGAGACACACTTGCGTGAGCTGCGAAGCTATCTTGGCTGGCAAATCACCCGGAACAAGGCAAGGCGCACCATCACCCTCACTCAGTCACACATGGTGCACTAGGTCCTTCAGCGCTTCGACTTCTCGTGGTCCTCGCCACAGCCCACTGCTCTGTCTACCGGCCACTCGCTCTCAGCTCCACCTTCGGACGAGTCCGAAGAGTCGAGTGGTCTGTACCCAGAGCTTGTGGGTTGCCTCATGTACCTGATGACATGCACACGACCTGACCTCACATACCCTCTCAGCCTCCTGGCTCGTTACGTGGCTCCCGGTAGACACCGAAAGGTGCACTGGGAAGCTACGAAGAGGGTATTACGTTATTTGTGCAGTACATCGGAAATGAGGCTCGTGCTTGGAGGACGGGGTTCAGTTGTTCTCACCGGTCACTCAGACGCTTCTTTGGCTGACGACTAGACGACTCACCGGTCGACATAGGGGTACAGTTTCAGCCTCAGCACTGGTTCTGTCTCGTGGAGGTCCACGCGCTCTTCTTCTGTACTTAGTTCCACCTGTGAGGTCGAGATCTATGCTGAGGCTATGGCTGCACAGGAGGTCCGCTGGCTGACCTACCTGCTGGTCGACTTGGGTGAGCGGCCTTGTTCTCCTCCAGTTCTGTACGTCGACAAAAAGGCTATGATTGCCTTGTGTCAGGACCAGAGAATGGAGCACAGAACGAAGCACATTGCTCTCCGTTACTTCCTCACACGAGAGCTGCAGTAGCGTGGTCAGCTTCGTCTTGCTTACGTGGCCACACAAGCCAACACTGCTGATGTCTTTACCAAGGCCCTTGGGTCTAGTGATCATCAGCATTGATGCACTGCTCTTGGACTTGTGCCCACTCTACCTCACTTGCTTGTCTCTTGATCTTGCCTTGCACTTGTTGTACTCTGATATATATGGTTATACTTGCATTGTTTGCTCTTGCTAGGTTGTGATCCGTGTACTGCAATTGCTTTTATAAACTCTGCATGTGAACTGGCCTTGTGGCCGCTTGTTTGTGCTCAGAATGTGTGGTGATCTTGAGATCCACCCTGAGCTTTGCTTAGATTTGTTCTCTTGCTTTACTGGTCTTGTGACCGTCTGTTGTGTGTTTGTTATCCCCCACTTTGCCTATGGGGGTGTGTCAAACTATGTTTATATGCTCTAGTCTGTAGTGGGGCATACTCTAGTGAGTACAACCCCTTAGGGATTCCTACTTGTACTCACATTCCTACTCAATGCAACATCACTTCTTGACAAGGTCGCCAGGGGAACATGAGGTCGCCAAGGGAACGTGAGGTGAGCTCCCAAGGTTCCTTGCTGATGAGGAAAGGAATGTTGGAGGAGCACAGAAGAAACTCTTATGGGGGGGTATACATACGGTATTCCAACAAGAAAAAGCAGCACCAGGATAGTTAGTTCTGTTATCGTCTACGGTACAGGCCGTAGTTACGGTTGCAGAAAGATCACAGCCAGCTTAAGGTCGAGATACAGGCATGCAAAGAGGTGACTTTTGAGTCGACTCAAAAGTCACAGCCAGCTTGAGGTCGAGATACAGGCTTGCAAAGAAAGAATCCCTCAATTTTGACCGAGTGGGGAGTCCCTGCTCAGAAACTTAGGGGAGGGAAGAACCTTGGTATCGGTTGCAGTGCTACCATGCTGGTTCGTTCCGCTTCAAGTGTCATATTCCTAGTTCAGACTCTGTTCTGCATTAGGTTGAAGGTCGGAGCAGCCCTGCCCTCCCACTACAGTGAAATACACATGGTATCAGAGGGTAATGATAGTAATAAAAAGAGAGTACATCAAACCAGCCACTAGAACCACCACATCAGACACGCCACGCATGCTGCACTGATTAACAAGGTCACACCATGCAAGCAAAAGGTGAGAGAAGAAAAGAAGGAAACGTGCTTCCTCTAGTGCAACCGGAGAAAAGGAGCAGTTGGCCAAATCAAACTGCTTGAAAGCAGCTCATATTCAACCTTATTCTAGCTTATTGTGGGTTGTCGTCCCTCCCAACCCCTGGCCACTGTTCCACCCTGTCAATCCATGCCTGTCCACTTGTCAGCCTTCTGCCGTCTACCACAGACTACTTTCCCGAAGCATGGCCCCCGTTGATCAAGTGGAAAGCCCTGCAAAAAGCATGGGAAAAGGAGATGCGGAAACTCACTCGTGCGTCAGTTGTGCTCACCAACTCTGCTGGAAGCATGGGGCGCACTTGCATCACTCTTGCATTGGCTTACAACTCAACCTGAAACTCGTGCGTCAGTTGTGTTGTATTGGCTTGCAACTCTGCTGGATATTCGTGCATCACTTTCGCGTTGGCTTAAAACTCACCTGAAAATTGGACGCCCTGTTGCTCCCTGAGCCACATCCACCATCCCCTCCTCCTCAGCCCACTGCTCTTCCTCACCTGAAACTGTTGCATCACTCGGACGCCCTGTTGCTGTCTAAGCCACATCCATCATCTCCACCTCGTCAGCCCGCTGCTCTTCCTCCTCTCTCCCAACACTCTCTCCCTCCTCGCCCTCCTCATCCTCCTCTCCTGCCAGCAGCACCCTACCATCCTCCTCCATCCCCTCCTGCATATCGGCCTCCTCCTCCTCTTCCTCCTCACTCTCTCCCTCCTCGTCCTCTTCTGCCAGAAGCACCCTACCATCCTCCCCATCCTGCATCTCTGCCTCCTCTTCCTCCTCTTCATCCTCATTCACACCCTCAGAATCGTCAAGCTCGGACAAAGCCCGCCCCTCCTCCATCTCCCCTTCCTCCTCATCCTGCATCTCTGCCTCCTCCTCTTCCACCTCCTCATCCTCGCCCTCAGAATCGTCGACCTCTGCCAAAGCCCGTCCCTCCTGCATCTCCCCCTCCTCTCCCTCTTCCTCATCCTCCTCCCCATCAAAATCCTCAGAATCGTCGATCTCGGCCAAAGCACGCCCCTCCTGCATCTCTTCCTCCTCCACCTCCTCCTCCTCCTCCTCGCCCTCGCCCTCCTCCTCATTCACACCCTCTGAATCGCCCATCTCTACCAGTGCCCGTCCTTCCTGCATCTCCTCCGCCTCCTCCTCCTCCTCCTCATCGTCCTCCCCATTCACATCCTCAGAATCATCTACCTCTGCCAAAGACCGTCCCTCCTGCATGTCTGCTTCGTCCTCCTCCTCTTCCTCATCCTCCTCACCATTCAAATCCTCAGAATCGTCTATCTCGGCCAAAGCCCGCCCCTCCTCCATCTCCTCCTCTTCCTCATCGCTGAAATCCTCTTGCTCTTCCTGAATTTCCTCCTCTGCCTCCTCGGACTCTCCTTGCTCCTGCAGCACCCTGCCCTCCTCAATCTCCTCTCCCTCCTGCTTCTCCTCCTTGTCCTCCTCCTCAGCATCCTCGTCCCATTCACCGTCCTGCTCTGCCAGTGCCCGCCCCTCCTGCATCTCCTCCTCTTCCTCCTCCGGGTAAGCATCCTCGTCCCACTCACCCTCCTCCTCACCATCCTCCTGCTCCGCCAGTGCCCTCCCCTCCTGCATCTCCCGCTCCTCCTCATTCTCTTCTTCCTCCTCTGCCTCCAGATTACCAGCCTCCTCGGACTCTGCTTGCTCCTGAAGCACCCTGCCCGCGTTAACCTCCTCCCCCTCCTCCTCATTCTCTTCTTCCTCCTCTGCCTCTGGATTACCAGCCTCCTCGGACTCCCCTTGCTCCTGAAGCACCCTTCCTTCCTCAATCTCCTCTCCCTCCTGCATCTCCCCCTCCACCTCATCCTCATCCTCATCATCTCCCTCCTCTTCCTCCTCCAACACCCTTCCCTCCTCAATCCCCTCCTCCGCATCCCCCGTCTCCACCTCTACAGCCACCTCATCCCCCATTTCCCCTTCTTCCTCCGCCAAAAACCGGCCCTCTTCAACCCCTTCTCCCCTCTCCGCTTCCCCCCCCTCCCCTTCCGCCGGACCCACTTCCGCCTCTTCCGCAACAGCACTTGCGCGCTCCCACGCGCCCTCCTCCGCCTCCCCCGACTCTTCCGACGCAAGCACTCTCCCCTCGTCAAGATTCTCCGCCTCTCCGCCTTCCGCCATCCCGTCTCCGCCGTCCGCGCTCGCCTCTTCAAGCAGGCGCGCGGAAAGCGTCTCCGGGGCGCCGTCGACGCCCACGGCGGAAATCAGCGCCCTCAGCGGAGGCGTGACGTCGGCGGAAGCCGCCGCCGGCACACCCCGCAGCGCGTGGCGACTAGGCGCGTCGGCGGGACTCTCAGTAAACATCATCGCCCGCCGCGGAAGAGAAGGGAAGGCAGCGCGCGCGGGGTTGACGACGAGAACGACGAAGAACACGAGAAGGAGGAGGCACGGAGCGCGGGGGCCTCGGCGCGCCATGATGGCTGATGCTGCCAGTATCCTCGTTACGTTATTAGGCGCCTCGAAATTGGGCTCGTGAGAGCGTTGGCTGATTCTTTTGACTGGGTGACGTTAGCGGCGGGGAAATAGCCGCGACGGCAGCGGGGATTGCGGCAGGAAGACGCTAAGTGTACTCTGGGATGATGCGAGGTCGGGAGAAAAGAGGGTCCTGAGAAGCTACTGCGCCGACGGACTTTGTCGGACGGATGTACAGCCGGGTGAACTCGAGAGCAACTAATAGCACTACTTCGAGACGAGTTTGAAACTGCGTGGTGCTTGAGTTGATTGCAACCTCGTATTTATGCTCTCGCCATGCCTCGGCCGTCACTGCTACTACCAGTCATCCATGCCCAGGCGGAAGCAACTCTCGCGCAACCGCTCCCCCTCCTTCCTTCCGGACGGGCCAGTGCGCATCATTGGCGCAACCACTGCGGAGTTGCGCCAATGATGATGCGACATGCGGGAGTGCAAGGCGCCACGCGCATCGCACAGGTTGAGTGCTTTTTCACGAAATGCGCCACGATGATCTAGGATCGTCGCGCGTCGCGATGGGTTCATTTGGGCGGACTCATCTGAAGCTGCACCGTCGCCTTGTGCGGAAATTCCCACTCCCCTGCCCCTCCGGCTTTCTCCCCAGCCTCTCCCGCCCACCAACCCCATTAATCCGCAGCGCCCCGGCACCGCGCCCAAAGCCGAACGCAGATCGATGCACCACCGAAGCGCACGGCATGATAATTGGTGCGGTGCGATTGGAGATTGTGGCGCCAATATAATCAGCTATTCTCTTGGACTAGGCAGTAAAGACGCCGTGATGCGCGTTGCCGTCCCTTCGTGGAACCTTCGCGAGGTGAGAAAAACGTGAAACGAGACTACCGTAGTGACCCAATAATGGTAATGTGGGAGTGAGAATTCGCGCTGCAGTTTAAATGTGGCATCTGCCAAAGGCTGAATCCGGCTTGGTGTGGTATAATGTTGCGCCGATTGTGGGACTTGGAGCCGCGAGAAATGCGGCAGCTCTGGAGTCGAAACCTCACAGAAAGTAATGGTGACGCACAGGCGGGGGTTGTCAATTATGGAAACTGAACGGCCTCTCTGATTTTTGTCGAGCATGAAATGTGGGGAGGAGGCGGGGGTTGCAGTACAGCCACGAGTAACAGGGTTTCGCTGAACGAGAGTCGCAAGAGTAGGGAAAAGAGGCGCACGAAGAATGGAGGGCTGATTTTCGAGAAATGAGCGATCGCTGATCGCGTCGCGTGCATTTCAGCCCTGGAGTGCACCGCATGCAATGGGAGGATGCAGCAATAATCGCGAATGCGCGAAGTGCGGTTTGTCATCCGTGATTTGAGTTCCTGGCAGCAGTTTGTTTGCAGAAGCTGATATAATCATGAGGTCCAATAAAGTATTCGGGCAGTTTCTATAGCAGAAGCTGATATTATGATGAGGCCCAATAAAGGATGAAATAAAACAAAATTTATTTCTCCAGTATATATGAGGGGTTGTAAGAAATTTTCCTTTTCCTTACTTTGCGTCCCTGCTCAGCGCGTACACCACTGTTCTCGCCAATAACTATCAACAGTGCACCGTTACCACTCTCGACACTCGTCTCGACCACTCTTCCCGCCACTGTTCATGATGCCACCAAACCTCACGGTTCGGTTGGTAACCCACGCTCCGGACCTCCGCCTTGACAATTCCCAGCCTCGGCGCTAGGCCCGTAGTGTCAAACATATGTTTATATGTTATAGTTTAGGTAGGCTTTAGTGGGGTACTCACTGTGGGGTACAACCCCTTAGGTTTTCATTTTGTACCAACACTCTCGATAGTCGATCCACCTTTTCCCTTTACTCTCGACATGGTATTAAGAGCACATAGGTCCCTAGGACCGTTTTAGGACTGTTTTTCAGGGCCCACCAACCGTTTTCCGCCGGTTACCGAGTTACCCCGCCCCTTGCCTACACTGCCCTTCGTCTCGCAGCCCTCGCGCTCGCCTCTGCTGGCCCTCGTACAGCCCGCTAGCAGCCCGCCTGCTGCCTCGTCAGCCCCGCGCGTAGCCCGCTAGCTGCCCTGTCAGGCCCGCGCACCGCCCCGCAGCCCTCGCGCTGCCTTCTCCTGCCCCGCGCGTCGCTCCGCAGCCCTCGCGCTGCTTGCTACGGCCGCCTACGCGGCCTCGCCCTGCTGCGGTCGTAGCCCCACCCTGCCGCCGACGCGGCCCCGCCTGGCCTGCGCGCTGCCCCCCGTCGCCGGTCACGGCGCCTGTGGGACCCGAGCGCTGCCCTGCACCAGCTACGCCGCCCCTGGTGCAGCCGCCCCTGGACCCTCGAGCAGCCGCCCCTGGACCCAGAGCAGCCGCCCCTGGACCATGAAGCAGCCGCCCCTGGTGCAGCCGCCCCTGGACCCTCGAGCAGCCGCCCCTGGACCCAGAGCAGCCGTCCCTGGCCCCTGCAGCAGCCGCCCCTGGAGCAGCCGCCCCTGGACCCAGAGCAGCCGCCCCTGGCCCCTGCAGCAGCCGCCCCTCGAGCAGCCGCCCCTGGACCCAGAGCAGCCGCCCCTGGCCCCTGAAGCAGCCGCCCCTGGTGCAGCCGCCCCTGGACCCTCGAGCAGCCGCCCCTGGACCCAGAGCAGCCGCCCCTGGCCCCTGAAACAGCCGCCCCTGGTGCAGCCGCCCCTGGACCCTCGAGCAGCCGCCCCTGGACCCAGAGCAGCCGCCCCTGGCCCCTGCAGCAGCCGCCCCTCGAGCAGCCGCCCCTGGACCCAGAGCAGCCGCCCCTGGCCCCTGAAGCAGCCGCCCCTGGTGCAGCCGCCCCTGGACCCTCGAGCAGCCGCCCCTGGACCCAGAGCAGCCGCCCCTGGCCCCTGAAGCAGCCGCCCCTGGTGCAGCCGCCCCTGGCCCCTGCAGCAGCCGCCCCTGGAGCAGCCGCCCCTGGACCCCGAGCAGCCGCCCCTGGCCCCTGAAGCAGCCGCCCCTGGTCCAACCACCCCTGGACCCAGAGCAGCCGCCCCTGGCCCCTGAAGCAGCCGCCCCTGGTGCAGCCGCCCCTGGACTCCGTGCAGCCGCCCCTGGCCCCTGCAGCAGCCGCCCCTGGAGCAGCCGCCCCTGGACCCCGAGCAGCCGCCCCTGGCCCCTGAAGCAGCCGCCCTTGGTCCAGCCGCCCCTGGACCCAGAGCAGCCGCCCCTGGCCCCTGAAGCAGCCGCCCCTGGTGCAGCCGTCCCTGGACCCTCGAGCAGCCGCCCCTGGACCCAGAGCAGCCGCCCCTGGCCCCTGAAGCAGCCGCCCTTGGTGCAACCGCCCCTGGACTCCGTGCAGCCGCCCCTGGATCCCGTGCAGCCGCCCGCCGAGCGCCGGCCCTGCTCGCCCGGCGAGCGCCTGCTCTTCCCGCCACTGGTGAGCACCTGCCTTGTTAGCGCGCTGCCGCACCATCTGCCTGCCTCCCTGCCTGCCTGCCAGCCTGCCTGCCTGCCTGCCTGTCTGCCTGCCTGCCTGCCTGCCTGCCTGCCTGCCTGCCTGCCGCGCCTGCTCTGCTAGGCTACTACTACTGGTACTGGCGGTGGCCAGATGCAGCTCCAGCGACGTCCGCGCGAGTCTCTCACGCCCCAGCAGCTTCGTGAGTGGTACACTAGTTGGGGTTGTGGCGGTAGTCGTCGTAGCTGTCGCCCTGGAGCTGGTCAGTTGGGAGCGTCTGGCAGTGGTCAGCTGCAGCTGCAGCGACGTCCACGCGAGACACTTATGTCCCAGCAGCTTCACGAGTGGTACGCTCAGAGTAGAGGGTCTTTGAGTACCGTTCGCTGCCCGTACGTCATTCGCACAGGTGATCGGACGGGTCAGACTTGCGGGACGCTTAGTCACACCCAGTCCCGCTGCTTCGTCCGCTTGAGTGAAGCCTGGCGTACCGAGTTTGGCGACGAGGCTGAGCTCCCCGACTGGGTGGAGCTGCTTGGGCAGAGGGTAGATATCTTTGCTCTTGACTATGATGCTATTCTCACTGCCATGTATGCATTGCCTACTAGTGCTGACCGTACCTGTCACTTGTGCGCCACGCCTGACCCAGGTATAGAGCCTGCTGCTCTCGGTGCTGGTGAGGCTGCTGCTCTAGGTGCTAGTGCGACTCCTGCTCTGGGTGCTGGTGAGGCTGCTGCTCCAGGTGCTGGTGAGTCTGCTCTCTTTGGTACTGCGCCTGCTGAGGCCTTGTACACCTTCACACTTGACTCAGGTGCTTCCCGCTCCTTCTTTCGCGACAACACCACCCTCACGCCGCTCAGCCGGCCGATTCCAGTCTCCCTCGCAGACCCCTCTGGGGGTCCAGTCCTTGCGCGCTCCTCCACGGTCCTGCCGTGTCCGGCGGTCCCGTCTGGCTCCCTGTCAGGTCTTCACCTCCCCTCGTTCTCTACAAACTTGGTGAGTGGTGCTGACCTCCAGGACCAGTGGGTTGACCAGTTCACTCCTGGAGGTCAGCGCGTGACCCACTGTACGTGCTCCCGGACGGGCCGGCACCTGGCCACGTTTACCCGTGCGCCTGGCTCTAGTTTGTACACACTGACTACTGTGTCCCCTCAGGTCGCTGCGTCTGCGTCTGCGTAAGGTCAGCTAGCGGCCCCCTGCTCGTGTCGCGCTTCGTCGCACCAGACCCTCCTTTGGCACCACCGCCTTGGTCACCCCTCGGTGCAGCGCCTTCGTAGCATGCACCGCCGTGTCCTTGTCTCTAGTCTTCCCAGGGTTCTCCCTCCCCTCCCACCCTCGCCTGCTCCTCCCTGTCTTCCCTGTGTCGAGGGGCGACAGTGCGCCGCTCCTCACTCCTCCTCGTTCCCTCCCACAGAGGCTCCCCTGCAGACTCTCCACCTGGACGTGTCGGGCCCAGCCCGCGTCCGTGGACAGGGCCACGAGCGGTACTTCCTGCTGGTCGTCGACGACTACACGCGTTACACCACGGTCTTCCCCTTGCGCACCAAGGGTGAGGTCCTTGATGTTTTGATCCCTTGGATC